GGGGGAAACATCAGACCAAATTCTCAAATTTAGATAAATTGAAGGGTTCAATTGAGATGATTAAAATCTAATAAGAAAGTTTGTTTTATGTTTAGATTAGAGTCATTCTCATTTATCCCAACGTCATCTTCTGCATTGCCTCCTTCATTTGAGTTCCATCGTTACTCTCAATGGCTTTCAGAAGTCAAGCTGTCGCTACCCAACCAGTTTCACAACTGTAACCCATAGTCCGACTGAAGTGTACCACCAAAAACCCTGTGTATTTTCACCACCACCTGCATTCACGTTAATTAATTCCAACTATTTACTCAGCTGATTCAAGCATAATATTTGGCCGGGTGGAATTTTTCAACCCCCACAAACCACTAGCCAACGGCTACCGGTGGATTCTAACGTTGGAGATGGAATTGAGTCACGTGATTCGAGGGACTGGAGGGATATTACGTAACGTGAGGTCCATTCAATTTCCTCTGCAGATGTTTTCACTGCTCGGCTTTTAGTTAGTGGGAAATTTAGACGAGCACTTCCCTGATATTGCAGTAATCAACGCATCACCGGGCACTCTCAGGTAGTGAATAATGTAACGCAATACTTGGATTTATCCTACCTCAAAAATCGACAATTCGCGGACGTTCGATAATTTTTATTTATTTATGAGGCTGGTATGTTGTTCAAATCGACGACGATTTATACAACGGGAATTAAGGTAGGCTGTTAGACAGCACCTGTGACATCAGTCCATCAACTTAGTCAAAGTATTCCACGAACTACATATCATTACAGGATTCACGTTGCGGGATTAATGATCGCGGGAGTCCGTTTTTCCGGAAAATTCTCACAAGAAACACCACCCAGGTGCCTCCCAAGGTAATCGGACCTAACGAGGAAGTTGGCAACGCGACGTGCAGCGAAACTGAAAGCAGTAAGATATCGGGAAGACCTGTTTATTCCGGATTAGGGATTGAAATAGAAAAAATGAAGTCTAATCGTTCCAACGGACCTTCTGCCGTCCATTCATTCTTCGAATTATAATTTTCCGTCGATTGCAAATCGAATCCGGCGTTTTGCCATTATTCAAAAAATCGATAATTGAATCAATTTAGTTTTAGTCGCGTATCGATCGGCGATTATCCGCGGTATTGTCGTGATTAATGATAAATTGTTCGATCATGAGAATTGGATGACTTTTTCCAGTATAAAAACCCGGTGTTTTCTGATAAAACCGTGGACTGGTATATCGGTGGAGATAGCAACACCACGGGAACCGGTCGTTCGTGACTGTTTTTTAGTTGTTGGTGATTTCCAATTGAATATTTTTCACTCACACGTTTCGCCACCATTTCACGGCAAGGTCGAGGTACATTCAACTGGTGAAATAAAAGTATCGAGTGAGGAACAAGCGATTTCTCGTGTTGATCTGGATGTTATTAATGATTCATTTTATTTTCATACTGGGCGAGGGCTTTTTACGTGCCACGGGCTTTCACGGGAGTGGATGACTGGAACTTTCTGAGTGATTTCGAATTGAATAATTATACTGAGAGAAATTTTCATGGTCACCTCTACTATAAGGGAATAGTCAAAAAAATTAGAATTACGACGACAGGAATATATAAACTTAACTAGAAATTATTGATCATTAAAAATTGTCATTTTCAAGTGATAGTGGGTTAACTGTCCACTTCAAAGAGGCAAAATTTATTTTTATTTTAAGGCCCCACAGTTGAAAATCCTCAGTATTTTAGACTCGTTATCCTGTCGTCATTTAATACAGAACAAATTGTAATTGTGATATTAATTGTGAGAATGTCTTCAGAGGTGAGACCTTCAGCGCAATTAGGAGTTGTCAACTCACTGTTCATTTTACGTTTAATCAAACATGATTATTATATTCGAATCGTAAATCAATTTGATCTACTTCAGATTTCATAGATGTATTGAAATCGAACGCTACTTTCTATCCACTTGCACAATGCACTCTTGACCTTGAGAGAAATTCATTAACATTGCATTGTATCAATGAGACAGTGATATTGATTATGTATTTCGATAATATGTCAATCATCAATCACGATGTTGATTATTATAATGAGCATTGATACCCGGGTTGTCTCGGCTAATTAGAGATTCTAAAATGCATTTGGTAGTGGGACAATGGATTGAGTGTTCCGGGGGTTTATCGGTGATCTCCGCGAAAAAGTAAATATAAATAATGAAAAAAGTGTACGTAAGCATCAAACGGGCGTAAGACTCATTTTCCTAAGTGATCGGTGTAACCTCACACCGAATATCGCAAAGTGGCTGGATTGAAGTCGTGAAAAAGGAGGGGAAAATACTCATTCCCCATCTGTACTTTTCCCGATCATTTATGAGATCCAAACTGCGAAAGGGAACGGGAAAAAATTTGAAAAATTGATAGGCCCCAATCCCATTATGTCTGCAAGGGAGAAACCGAGTAGATTGACGAATTCCATTACATCAGTCCACTAAAACCGATTTCCATCGAATAATTGAATTTTCAATCGAAGTGAAAGAAATATTTCAACAGTGAAGGTTCTGGGCGTTTAAACACTTGAGCCGAATGAAAATTCACATTGGGAATTCAGATGCAACTGTCGCGGAAAATTTGAAAAGAAAAAAACGATGAAATTTCCCACGAGCGGCGGAATAATAATGAAAAAGCAGTTGGGAGGTCTCTATTATTGAATAAACCGAGCTCCAACGTAACGTTTCATCCTCAGCTCTCGTTTGTCTCCATTTTATCAACGTCAGGACCGCGGAAACCCAACGCTGAGAGGGCTTATTAATTTTTGCCGGTTGGACGCGTCCAGTTTTCGTTGAGAACGAAGGGGACACCATAGAACCCGACGGAGAGGCTTGCGGTCAATTAGTCTCCCGTGGGATTTTAAAATAAACACTCGTTACTGGTACTTAAAACAAAAAGCCCCTGTGTTTAATTAAATAAACTCGGACGTACTCTGAATTACTTGCGCTACGTTTTCCGCGACATTCTCGACTCCATTGCCCTCCCCCCATCGCTCCTTTGTGATACATTTAATGCATGTATGTACAGCCTATTCTCATTTTTTTAATCACGGTATTATTTGACTTCAATTTTCTGTTGAATGGGTTGAGGCAGTTTTGGGGAGAGAATTATCCGGGCACTCGGGCGTTCAAATATTGTGTTCATAAAGGTTTGATGGGTCAGTTTGAAGTTGGATAGCTCGGGGATTTAGCAGTGCCAGCGGATTGTCGGATTTTCTACTCTATATGCCTCATTAACATGAAATAAATGCGCTGGAGAGGTGGTTCGGTAGAATCAATCCCACTCGGTCGTTATTATCGGGATAAAATCGCACTTGGAGGATTGGAAAACGAGTTTTTACGCGGGTGTTGTACATTGCTCGAACAAAATTGAAATTTGCTGTGTGGAAAGCCTTTTGAAAAATTACAACGCTGTTCAAACTAAATTTTTTATCACTAATAATAATAATCTGAAATATTAACGGAAATTTTCGGAATAATTCAGTAATAATCTAATCGATAGTCCGAGAGTCGATGCTCATCAATGCAATTAGGATGAACTGTCGCATTCCGTAATCCACTCTCTCCTCGTAATTTTACACATTGAGATTGGAATGTCTTCTACATCTCTAATTATTCGAGGAAAGTGATTACTCAAGTGAGGACGGCGGCGCCAGGAAACACGAGTGAATAAAAAATAATATAAATAAAGCGAATTGAGCACTTGTCAAATAGAAAGTTTCGCTTGTATGTGTCTATGTTTATGCATTGCAAAATAACGAGATTACTTTTACTCGTATGCGCTAAAAAAAATTCCACATCTAAAGGCGGCGATTCGATTACTGGAAAATTTTTTGGACAACTATTTTTGTTTCAGAAATGTGAGAGATCGAAAGTTGCGAGTTACGCTTGAATTCGATAAATTCGTTTTGCCCCGTCAGTTTCCGTCAATGCATTCAAATGAATAATCATCAAATCATCTTTTTTTTAATAGCCAATTATCGCAATAAAATAATATGTATGCGTATTTTTTTTTTGATTCGCTAATGGCTGCGGCACTAATTATTCACCTCAATCCATATTACGATAGTGATTTCCTTGGTTTCACTCATCTTGACCATCTGGCTCTAATAAAATTTCTATTATCACACCATAAGTGATCGGCAGAATATTGGTGTCGATTATTTTATGGCAGCACGGAAAATCCATGAATTTCTATAGCAATCGACGGATATATCTAAATTTTATGAAGAGCTGTAGTTTAACCGCTTGACGAAGAATTTAATGATCTGACAGCTTATTACAGTTGAATTAAAATCATAAAATACATGATTATTAAAACGAGTGGACATCCTTCTTGATTATTGCACATAAATAATAAGCAAATGTATTGACGAATATTAGTCCATACTAATTGACCATTCAATTAATTGATCAGAGAATTAAATGGGAGAAACTGGGGAAATTAATTACTTGTGCACGTCATTTTTCACTATTACGCATTCAATTATTGATTTCAGGAATTGATCTAAAAATTCAGGTTAAATTCCGCAATGTTTACTAGTTTTAATGATCTAAGATTGAGTGTTCTGGTATGATGCGTGGGTAGGACTGGATGATGTCAGTTCATTCACCCATGACACTGAAAGTCACCGATTATCCGAGTTACATTTTCCGCAGATAAAATTACGCGTGTTAAAGGAATAATATTGACCCCGTGGCATTAGTATTCCTTTATCCACATCACCTCATTCTATATATCTCAGAGAGAACCGTTAATCATCGACATCCCACCGATAATCACCGCTCAACAATTGAATTCAATGTCGCCAAGGGAATAATTTTAAATCGTTATTACTGTCAACCCATGTCCGAACGAGCGTGCTAGTGAACTCGAGGATCGTGGAAAAAATATCAAGTTGAAAGCAATGAGGAGAGAGTGCTAGTGCATATAAGGAGAATCCTGATGCACGAGTATTCTCAGTGATGTTTTTCTCGTGGCCGATAGTCGCCCGTCGCGGACGAGCTCGGATATCATTATGAAGCCAAACGTAATTAAAGTCTTTAATTTTATCGATTTTTGGTTGAGTGAAAATGGTCGAGTGGTCGAACGAAAAATATTCACCGAATGCCAGTGAATGAAATAATATGAAACAAATAGCAGATGATTGATTATTGAAAAGTTTAACAAAGAAGATACGTCAGGCCTTATTCGATCGTCAATGCCTCGAGATTGGCAGAGTGTAATTGAGTAATTTCTCCTTCATTTCGAAGGATTTTTTTTCGTCTTTAGAATGATGGTTCACTCGTTCAAATCGTCCCATTCAATCAAGAGATATTGATGATCTAGGAAGGTCTACTTTTCTTCAATTTAACTTTATTTCAGTAATCGTTTGTGATGGATCGATTGGTGATTTCTTTCTGTTGCACAGCTGCTGTTACTGTTGCTCTGGTTGACGTCATCAGAGGCATTATTTTTCAACTAGTAAGTTATGGATAATTGGTAATTACTGAATTGACTAGAAATAACAAGATAATCACTGTTTCAGCCCAAAGAATGTGCTTATGAATTTCTTCAACTCCCTCCGTGAGAAAAAGGAGATGAAAAAACCACCGCCAATACCCGACATCCATCACTACCATCTGCATTATTATCCAATTCACGTGCAGAGTATTCATACATCAATGAAATCCCTGAAAGCCCCCGACAAACACGAACTGGAGACCATCCACACGTATGGGAAATCTGTATCCCTCCGGGGTTCATGCAAATTGTTTTTGTCACACGTGGTATTCACATTTTCAGAAACAAATTGGAGAATTATGGCTGGAGCGAGCAGGAGTACAGGTACATAAGTGATCCAGTTATTCATCATGTACCGAGTTTTCTCGAGACCTGGCCCATGTCAGAGTCGTTTATTCATCATCGCCCGGAGATAAGTGTAGAGAGTGTGAATGACGGGGTAAAGGCATTTAACGGTGAGTTGTTTCCGAAATTTAAGTATTTCGGATGGATTAATGTATGAAAAATATTTTTTAATCGCGAATTAGGTCAAGCGTAATTGAAAAAAATTTTGACCTTCATTTTTTTCTATTTTTTAACTTATTAATATTATTATTATTATTATTGTTAGCTTTTAATTAATTAATTTGTATTTGAAAAGTTCAGTGTTCCACTGATATTTAAATTAGAACAATGAGAAGTTCGATTTCTCACGCACAAATTGAATTTTTCAGATTCGCGTATAGGAAATTAATTTAGATTGAAATTTGTGAAACTTAGCTCTAATTATAGAGAGAAAAATTGGAATGAGTAATCTTACCTTTTTTCTCTACTGCAACATTTGTCCGTTTGGAAAGTAGTAGATCGTTATGGAGAGGAGACTGTGGGCAAATCCGGTGGAATTCTCGTTCAAGTGCCCCTGCATCAGCAAATCATCATCCAGCAGCCAGTGAAGACTGAAAAACCGAAGGAATCCCATCCACTCGTTGCTTTCCTCGAGAAACTACGTAACTTCAAAAATTCACTATTTCACTCCGCCGATAAAATCGATGAGAAATCAGAAGATTTCTCCGAGAAAGTCAATGCCTTCGTCGTCTTTAGGCACCCAAAATCCAGATTGTTGCGATAACACTTGTCACTCATTTTTTCACTTATTCACTTATTCACATTCACATAACACTTATCGTCCACATTAACTGATTAAAGATGAGATTGTTGAATAATGTTTATAAGTTCTGTTAAATAAATAAATTATTGTTGCACGGAAGAATCAGATTAAATGTCGTATTGATGGTTGCGGAAAAAATAGATTGTAATTATGACTGTGAATGAATTATTATTGAATTATTGGAGTTCGATAATTATTGAGATCATTGCAAATCCCGATAAGAAATTTTGACAGGGCTGTGGAAAATATTGTAACAGTGTGATTTTCTCGATTGAACTTGCGAACCGGGTAACAAGGATGGGCTGTCCGATAGAATGACTTGTTCAATAGTTAATAGGCGAGTAACGGTGCAAGAACCAGCACTGGTAGGGGAAGAAATAGAGAGAATACAAGACATAAATACAGTACACGCAGGGTTATTTAAGGGGCTATTACATTTTTATAGCTCAGATGACGCATGGCCTTGGTGGTGGTGTACTATATAAGCTAGCAACTCATGGTGTATCCAGTAGCGATTCTTTGGAACTCCTCCATAAACCAGAAAAGTATCTCCACAATTTCTTGTGTCGATCTTTTTTATTTCCACGATTCGAGTAATGAAAACCAGCGCAGACTTTTAAATCAAGCAAATTTGACAATTTCCAGTGAAAAATTAATTCGACCCGTGAATGAATTCATTACAATGATTAGTCGATTGGGAATTGAATTTAAAATATTTCTAATGGTGTGTAGCGTGATGGTTCTTAAAGAAAGAATTTGTTCTCTGTGAATTTCGCGTTATGATTTAGTAAAAATCGATAAGAATTTCAAACTAGGCCAGCGGAATTAACTGCGAGATTGACGATAACCAATGATGCCCAATAAAAAAGAAAAATAAATATTGTTTTATGATGTCAAGCATCTAAAACCCATCCATTTTGCTATTTTGAAATCAGTTTGACTGTAACAATCGACGACAAAAAAAAATCGGTTACTGAGATATTTTACACGGGAGTATAAAAATTTAGTTGAACAATGACGTTCACCTCATCGTACTGCTTGACATGCGGTAGAAAATATGAAATAAACAGTAACGAGGATTGTCTCGATCAGCCACACGGGAAACGATAACAAAACAAACGGCTGTGGTCGAGGGCAAGAAAAGAATTAAAACAAAAATAAAACCTTTCGATGCTCAGCCCAACGGGAAGATTTTCATTTCCATCATGGCATGCTGTTGGGCAACAACTGAGCGAGTCCGCAGTAGTATCAAACGATATTTTTTAATTGATCGCATTTTATCTGATTCTTCCGCTCCGATTCGGGTGTTTTCAATTCGTATCCAATTTATCCGGTAACTCGTACTTTATCCGGGGGTTTTTAATTATTTTATATGCCGATTATTTTCGGATTATCAACGATGCGGTGGTTCTGTTGCCAGAGCGTGGAGCGGATTGAGTTTTCAATTTTCATTTGTTTGAGACGTTCACACGTCTTTGCCGTTGATACGACTCGTAGTCGTGCTGTAGAAATCTTAATCTTCGGGACAACACGAAGTTATTTTCCCCAGTCCTCCGCTGCTTCAGGTCCATTCCGTCTCGTCGCGTTCCGAAGACTGATATGTCTTCAACACTGCAGTCACTTTTGTAAACATTTGATTGCGATGCAAGATTCCGTGACTGGTCGAGAATCCATGGTGGGGGTTAAAATTAGAGCCATATTTCAGGCATGCGCAGACGAGTCAATCACGACGAGTTTTTAATTTTGTTGTGTCCATGATTTTCGGAATATTTGGAAACGATGCGCCAGTTTCTCGGTGAGAGCGTGGAGTGGACTGAGATTTTAATCTTCATTTGTTTCAGACGGAGACAGGTCTTCTCCGTCGATTCGACTTGTTATGTCGTACTGCAGAAATTGAAATCTTCGGGAAACCACGAAGTTATTCTTCCTCAGTCCTCCACTCCTCCCTCAGGTCCGTTCCGTTCCATCGCGTTCCGAAGACTGAAATTTTTCCAGTACTGCACTTATCTTTATAGACAGGTGTGGCGCCGTGATTGGCCGAAAATTCATAGTGGGGGTTAAATTTAAGTCTCATGTCAGACATGCGCAGAGTGAATCTCAAGTTTTCAAATTTTAAAAAATTGTATTAGAAACTAACTCCGCGAGGGGTCTGTCGTCAAGGTCCGTGCGAGTTGATATACCTGCGTAAATCATTGCTAAAAATTCAGTAACGCGATCGGATCGACAGGGGCAGCATCGGGGAAAGGAGAGGAGCAGCGCAGGAGAATCTTGGAAAATAATATTCTAAAACCAAGAAATCTCAAATTCGCTGGGGAAAATGGAATTCGCTCCATTACCTTCATTCTTCGTATATGCTGCCAGTCTCTCTCGACGGTCCAAACGAGTTCATATCCCTGAGTGAATTTCTGATTAAAATTCAGTCATGCGGTGGAATTCACAGCACAGGGGAGAGGAGCCAAGCAGGATGGCCTTGAGAAATAATATTCTAAAACTAAGAAATCTCAAGATTACTGAATAGAGTTGACTAAACCAACCAAAGTTAACTGAAACTAACAAATCTCAATTTCGCTGGGGATAATACGCTTGGCTCCTTTACGTTAATTCTCCGAATATGCTGAGTACCTCGTGTCTAAAAATTCACGGGGATCGGATCTACAACGCGTTTAAAGAGAACGGAAGGAGCAGAGCAGGATGACCTTGGGGAAAAATAATATTCCAAAATTATGAAATTTTAATTTCGGTGGGATAAATCGATTTAACTTCTCTAAGTTAATTCTTTCATACGACGAAGGGCTCCCTCCATGATTCGCGCGAGTTAATATGCCTAAGTAAATTGTGTGTGAAAATTTATCCGACCGTCTACAGTGGCTGCACAACGAAAAGGATCTAAGGGGATATAAGGCAGAAGGGGAAGGAGTAGAGCAGGAGAAGCTTGGGGAATAATAATATTAACAAAGTAAGAGATCTCCAAATTTTTGTTAATTTTAAAATTTTATCTGTTTCAAAATATGAACGTACGAATCGCGCGATTATTCAACAAAAAATATAAGGGAATCTTGCTGTGAATCCGGATCACAATCCCTTGTTCGCATTTTCGAATAAAAATCCTCTAATAGCCGCAACGTCGAGGTAAATCACTCCCATGAAGAAACCAATTCTTCCGAATCCATTTCAAAGTGTCGTAAACAAAATGACTTGAGTTCTGAAATACATCGTTTGGTATTAATGATACCTGCGGTTTCACACGACTATCGCCTAACTACAAACCCTAACTTGTCAGCATACTCTGATTTATGTTAAAATCCTCCGGTCTAGTTTTACGACTTCCAGAATATGAAATTCGCTCGTGAAGGCATTACAATTCATCTCCACCGAAAGTAAATTACCTCGATATGAATTGATAGAATCCATCAGCATTCGATGAATTATCCTATCGGAATTAAAAAAATTTAGACCAAAAAATTTCAGGCAAAATTTTTTGCAAAATTATTTGATTTTTTTTGAAAAAAAAAACGGTTTGTCGATGGTAATTTTTTCCATTGTCAGCGGTAAATTAATTCGGCGAAAGTCGCGGCAATAAAATCAAACATCAGTGGTTAAACCGTTGGCGCCGAAAAAAAAAATGGTTGTCGTACTCGTCTCGCATTAACCACCGGCACTTTCGTTCTCAATTTCGCACATAACCATTCCAAACTACCCAGGGTACATATCCACTGGACATCCCGTGATTCTCGACGCGTTTGGTCTGTTACGATGAGGAGAGTCGGTTGGTTTGTGCGAATAATTAAAAAGTAGAGGATAAAAGGGAATCGGAAGGTCCAAAGCCGCAGCAACGAGAGATCGGCGTGTTCGTCCGAGGGAAAGAAGAAAATCTAATTAATTTCCGTAGCGCAGTGTATGCAAGCCTGGCTTTTTGCACTATATGTACATATACGAATGAGAGATGAGATAAAAGACGAGGAGAAAAAATGAAAACAGCGGTAAATGTTGTTTTAGGCTTTTATGCCCGTTACACACACGTATACGTGCCATTTCCGTGGAAAATTCGTTCTCTCAGGCGATGGCGGTGGATGAATAAGGACAGGAGGCCGGTGTCCAGGAGGCAACTCGGAAAGTCCGTGGATGAGGTGTGTGAGAGATGGAAACCGTTGGCTCGCGGACGCGGGGAACGAATTTAATTTTTTTTTTCCCCTCCCATCCGGTTTTTTTTCTTCTTTTTCTTTCGCTACTCGTCTCCACCCACTGCCGCAATTAGAAATGAGCTTACGCTTGACGTCCGAATACGCACGGAAATCAACGGACTACCTCGTTTCCTTTCCATCGTGTTTCGACGTTTCCATTTCGCCGATGAAATTAGGAAAAAACGAGGGGAGAAAGGAATTGGTGACAATCCGCATCTGCAATCAGTTCCCTCTGTCCTCGTGACTGATTGAAATTCGAGAATGATTAATTTATCGGGGACGAGGATAATGGGAGGAATAATGAGAGTTGATGATAATCTCGCTCACTATTTTTTCCATGAAATTTCCTGTGAATTTAATCCACCGAGTTATAATATAATCTGGTAACTAACAAATTGATGAAAAATTTTTTAAAATGAGAGAAATCTACACTTCCATTGAGAATTGTATAAAAAATGAGACATTCCAGAATTTGTTGAAGAATTATTTCGATGTCCTTGAAACATTGAATCTAAAGTTCGAGGATATTAAAAGGGAAAATAAGAAATGCCAGAGGAATTGGGATATTTTGAGAATAAATTGGATAACGCACGGGTAATTACCATCGGCCAAAGACGGTTTAATTAATCTAATTAACGGTGATGCAGCAAGTAGGAAGTTTGGGGGTAATTTCTTGAATTTGAGTGAGTAGAGTGTTTCTCACCATCGTGAGTCCTCGGTAATCCACTTGCCATCAGTTGATACGACACACGCCGTTGAGACCGCGATATATCTATATCACATTAGTCCACTACGGCAAATTGTACTCACCACAGTGGACTATCACTCGTCCTTTGATTAACATATTGCTTGGCGACGCTGCAAAGGACCCAAGCTATTCTCTCGTGTTACAATACGTCACTTTCGTGGATGAGGCTAGACGTTATTACAGAAATGGCACTGGCGGGTGGAGAATTTAATCAACGAGATCTTCCCCGTCTGACATCTTCGGGGGA